GTGTAACCGATCGAGTGATTCATTATTCATGGTTGGCAAGGCAGGTCCAACCGAGTTCTTCTAAATCTCCAAATACTCGCCCTCCTCCTGAACCACCACTTCACTCGAAGGAAAAGATATCGCTCAACTAGATATCCTTTTCGGTGGAAGGTCAAATTGACGATCCAGACAAAATCTGCTAAATTGAGTTCTCTTTGTTGGTTACTAGTGAAACCAATTCTCCCTTTCCGGTGGCTGGTGAAGCCGGATAGTTTAATTGTAATTTTGCATATTTTTTTTGTGGAGTAGCAAGAAGAGCAGTAAGGCTGTTAGACTAGATTACATTATTGCAGAGTTAGCGATCTCGAAGGATTCATTTGATCTTTTATGTTCTATGTCTCATCTCATTGTAGTCTTAGACTATTCACTCTCTTGTATCTTTGCTGTCTTTTAATTATGAATTAGTTATTTAATTTTCAAAAAAAAAATTGTCCAACTTAATACCGTGTTCTCTTCACACCTAATTATAAAAAAACTAAACTTTGGTTGTGATTGACGATTGCAATGACATATATTACTAGCGTCTCCGGTTTTAAAACGCGACGATTTCCATTTGCCTAACAAGATACCCCTGTACCACAAAAACTTGACCAAAGTTGACTTGCACGTAGATTAATAAACAAAAAATTGGGTAATTGAAATTTGTGCAAAGGAGAGAGAAATAACTTTAGCCACATATCTTACTTAAATGAAAATGTCAAAGTTCTTTCGAACGATGAGAAAAGGAATTTTGTTCAAGTTTTGTGGGACGAAGAGAGTACAGGATAGAGAGCAACGTTGGCAGACAGAAAAAACAAGCTTTCAATGAACTATTATTAGATCATGACTTTTCTTTGCTTTTATTTAATTTTTTTACTTTTGGAAGAAGTCAGATCAAAATAAATTGTACGATGGTATTAGACTTGAAAATAACACTTTAGAAAAAAGTTTTATGAAAGCTAGAATAGTCAAAAAGCTATCAAAGATAAATAATATGGTAATAAGGTTGTCAATATGCTGGATTTAGGGAGGGATCAAACCATGGATGCGATTATCGTTATGCCGTGACGAATGAATTAAGTAAATGACATTTGACCATTCAAATTCCTGTCCAATTTTTTTTTTTTGGGGAAACACATCAACTTCATTAGATAATGTCAAACTGGTTACAATCAGCTTTGAGGCTGTGTTTAAGAAAGCTAGGGGCATCTACTAGCCAGAGAGCTAGCTCAATGTGTGAACAAGCAAACTTTGCACAACAATGAGCAGCCCGATTGGCTTCACGCCTCATAAAAACAAGCTTAAAAGAAATAAAAACTGCACTTAGTTCACTAATTTCATCCAAGATAGGGGAAATGATTGAGCGATCAGTCCGCCGTTGGTTCCAATGCATGAGCAGGTCCGAACAATCAACTTCGAAAATTACTTGAGTGAAACCCCTATTCACAGCAAAGGTGACAGCGTCCCGCAGGGCCAAAGCTTCTATCGTCAAGGGGTTAGAGATCCCAACATAACTTCTACAAGCAGCCCCTCGGAAGCCCGCCCAGTCACGTGTCACAATCCCACTGCCTGCAATATTATCGGCTAGACAGACAGCACCATCTGAGTTAATCTTAACTACATCCACCGGCGGTCCATGCCAAGTACACTCCGGCCGAGGTTGCTTTGGCCCTAACCGAGTTGGGGGTAGCTCTATTGACAAGAGAAGATCTTGGACATACTCCATAGCCTTTGCTGGGTTATAACCAACCTCGCCATGAATCCATTTGTTTCGTGATAGCCAAATCGAATGCATTACAGAGATAATTTTAGGCCTATCATCATCATCAAACATTGAGTTGCAGAGGATATCAGCAGCCCAAGTTGTTTGGTGAAGGCGCGGCAGTTTGATCAAAAGAGCTTCTTCAGCCGCATTCCAAAAAAGCCTCGCATGGTTGCATTCCACGAGAGCGTGCAACAAAGTTTCTGCCCCAGATTTACACAGTCCACAAGTGCTATTGTCCATGATATGCCGCCGTGACAAGGTCCCATAATCGGGTATGATTCCACGAAGAACCCGCCACCAAAACACCCGCACCTTTGGAGTAACCATGAGCTTCCACAGCTCCTCCTCACTACCTGATGAAGAAGAGGGGTTATTGTTCATAGCAGCCTCATGTCGCTGTCTATCCACCATGATCGCTCGATGAGTCGATCGAACAGTATATAATCCAGAATTTTCCTTTGTCCAAGCTAGCCAATCCTCTCCCCCTTGGCTCCTCAAAGGTATTTGCAGAATTGCCTCAGCGTCCGGGGCGAGAAAAATAGACCAAACTAGTGGCACATTCCATTGTTTGTCATTGGCCAATAATTCATTAACCGTCAACACACCGGTGTCCTGAAGCCGGCCCATGGGCCGCATAGTGATTGAGTTCGGGATCCATCGGTCCTCCCAGATAGAAACAGATTCCCCCGACCCAATTCTTTTGATCAAACCCAGTTTCAAAGCTTCCCTTCCTGCTAGGATACTGGATTTAATCGGACCAGTAGGCCAATACCTGATCAATCCAAACTGATTACGGAGTACGATTGATAATCATGTAATTTCCATGTTTATGTTTGTGATTTTAAGTAGTTTTGATTGATTTTCACTTTGGAAATTATACACTTTTGGTGTAATAGTTTAGTTTGTTAAATTCTTGTATATTGTTTAGATTAGGTTTATTCTGAGCTCAAACAGGTCTACTATCACTCAAAGGACAGTTGGTGAACCCCAAAAGTGGAAGGAAGGTACAAAATCACAAGACAAAAGGGAAGATCCTGATTTTTGGTCTATACCCGGTCGATATCATCTATACTCGATCGGGTATCTTGTTGAAATTTCAAATCGGATCGGATCCGAAAACAAAGGAACATGCAGGGAAGATTTTGACACGATCGAATGTCTATACCCGATCGGGTATAGCTATAAATTTTACTCTAATCTCGATCGAGTATGGATCGAATTCGAATTTCTACACATACTCGATCGAGTATCTGTATATACTCGATCGAGTACCCGAGCTGCACTCCCAAAAAGCCTATAAATACACCCCCTTTCCTTCACAATAGATACCAATTCCTATATACTCTTAAGCTCAGTTTAGAATAGCATTTCTTTATATTTCTTCTAGCATGTTTAGTCTCCAAATGAGGAGCTAAACTTCCATTTCTTGGTATTGCTCTTGAAGCTTGTTGATTATTAAAGTTGTGAGTTATTTTCTTAACTTCTTTCCTTGAATATTAATTCTTCTTTTAAATACTATTTCTATATCAATGTTGGGGAGTGCTACTAAGATGACAATTAGTTAACATCTTGATATTAACTATAGTAGGATTCATCTTCTTTAATATTCTTCCTTGAGTATTAATTAATCCCTATTCATATTTCATATTAATATTTTGAACATTACTTAAAGGATCAACTAGTTTTGTTTCACATATTAATTATTACTAGAAACGATCAACGAACCGATGGTTAATCGTTGATAGTTTCACAAGTAAGTAACTTCGGTTTATTAATGCATGGTCGTGGTTAATAAACTTAAGAGAGATTAATTTTGTTGGTTAAACCGAAACCGTTGTGTTGAGGTTATCAATCTCAATTGATTTCATCAAGGAGTTAAAAGATTAAATGCTACTATCAAGTCGGTATATGGCGTTGTTCTATACTTGACTAATAGTAAGGGTTATTAATGAACGGTCGTTGTTAATAACTATACTCGATGAATTGGATATACTCCTCGATTGAGTATTCGAGAGGAGATAAGTTATAGATATAACAATGATCGACTAAAATATATCAACAAGTGTAAAGTAGCAATGCCAAGTCCCTTTTATCTTTGAATTAAAACTCATATAACTCGTTCATCTTCGTGTTTAATTTAATTAAATCACTCAATCCCAAAACCCCCCTTTTTATTACTAGTTACTTAAAAAGAGAATTATTCATTTCCCTGCGGATACGAACTCTACTACGCTATACTGCGTATAAGTGTTAGTATTGAATTTATTTTGAGTGCACACACGACAAAGTGCACGTCAACGATCTAAAAATTTTAGGGCCAATATTTTTTCAAGACAAAAAAGAGATAAAAATAATATAAAATGTCTAAAATACCCTAAAATTCTAACTAGCCGTTGTGGATGTCACTAGGGTGCTCTCAATGTGCAAAAGCGGTTGTGCAAAAACTAGTTTGCCCCTTTACAATGTTAGACAGTTGTCCCTTTAGACGATAAAAGAAAATGGTGCTAATAGCTACGGAGTAGTACATTATTTAATTTTTTGAGACTTGGAGCAACTGTTAGTACAAGAAAGGATTGGCTAAAAGAAATGATCCTTTATGTTCCCTCCTTTATTACGAAATCTTCACACCTCCTTAGATACTCATGAGTTTTAGCATTGAGTTATTTCACTTGTTTGTTAGGTTGGAAAGTCATCATATATACTCCCTCCGTCCCCTTTTAAATGTCCTGGAAGAGGGAGACACACAAACTTTTGATTGATATTAATTGATAAAGTAAGAATAAAGTCAGAATGATTTTGAGCCACACAAACTTTATCAAATAAGGTATGCGGCAATTAAATAGGGACATTCCAATATGGTAAAATGGGACATTTAAAAAGGGACGGTGGGAGTACTTCAACAAAAAATATTAAAAAAACATCGATAGCCATTTAAAAGTTGAAATAAAATTATATCATAAAACATAATTGTTCAAGAAAATATATTCATAATAATAAAATTCACATAATAACATACATGGGGACAATATATCATAAATGCACAATATATTATAAATGGACCATATGATACTAAACCATATGCATAGAAGGTCACATAGTACACTAGATTTGAACAAACTAAATTAGACTATACAACACTGTACAAGATTAATACAGATTGAATTAAATGAGATATAATCAATAAACGGTCTAACAATCAGAAACCTAGAGAAAATTATGAAGTTGTAGACAATGATTTGTCATTTATTGTTGCTGATGCAATTAATTATTTAAGTACAAAATTGAATTTGTGGGTTTGACACCATTTGTGGATAGCAATATTGCTAAGAACGAATACAATATAAATTCACATATTACTATTGAGATTATTTCATTTTAACAATTACTTCTGAAATACTACGTATTATTTTCCGTTAGTTTTTTTACGAAAACGTTTGATAACAGAAACAAGAATAACAAGAATAATAATAGCAACCGCTATTTTAAAAGCAGTTTGAGGGGAGATGGTTGATTGTAATGGAGCCCCCCCGCCTTGGTCAAAAATGTTGCCGAAGTTCCATTCCTTAACGCCGGGGACGGTGTTCAACACGCCATTTCCGGCGGCGGCGAGCCTATCAATACCATTCATGGCATTCATAAAATATGATTAGTCAAAGGATGAATTATGTAAATAGAATTAATGATGTCATAACTATTAGTATAGCAAATGTTAATATTGTTTTGGTACAACAATTAGTGAAGGAATCAAATTAGCACCCCATGTAAAATTAAAAGTCATAGTAGATACGTAGTAGGATTTTTTTTTTGAATATCCGAATAAAGTTATACAACTTGAGGACCTGAAGTTGAGTACAATCTTCGAAAAATTGTTCTACCCACACATGGTTGATTAGTCAAAATTACACTACTTCGACCATGGTTAATTACCCATGTACTCCTCCGTCCCGTTTATATTGTCCCGTTTTACTTTTTTGGGAAGTCCCACTTAAATTGTCTCATACCATATTTGACAAAGTTTGCGTGACTCTAAATCATTCTTACTTTATTCTTACTTTATTAATTAATATCAACCACACAAACTCACTTTTCTTAATAACCGTGTCACCCTCTTCCGGGACAATATAAATGAGACGGAGGTAGTATTGATTAAAATATTGTGTAGTTCAACACATAAGAAGTGCACTCAACTCATAATGAAATGAGATCGAGACTCTTTTAACCATACTTAAATTGTATTCATCATGACACATTTAAATATTTTTTTATGTACTAATAATTTTCCCAAACTTTCAATTATTGACATAGTCAAACACTAACGATCCAAATTTTTGTGGATATATCAATTCATGCATTTAACCCTCTCTTTAGCATCATATATATGAGTAACACAGTCAAAAACATCATATTTAGGGATTAGAGTTTGTCGCAGCAAGATCAATTAATCAGGAAATAGAGTCTAAATCTAGGCGGGATTAGTGATTCCGCGTTTTCCTTTTTGATCGTGTGTTTCTATGTCATATCTCATCTCATTCTCGTAGCATTGAGTCATAAGAATGTAATTGGTCTAGTAATTTTTGTGAACAATAATTAAATTGTTTTCTTTAAATAAGTACATTAATTTTACAAAAACCAATAAGAAAAATGAGAAATAATTAAATCATATTTTGCGTATTACTCCAGAAATGGAAGATTCGACCTTTTGGGTTAAGATCGAAATGACGGCTACCCCCCCCCCCCGACTGCCGCCATATTTTTGTATACGAAGAAAAGTTTTGAGCTAAGTTTATCAGAAAAGTGACATGAATTTAATAAAAATATAACACAATTCTTGATGGATATATAAAGAGAATGCATGGTTTCAAATAAGAGTAAAACATAAACAAAATCCGCAAATAGGTGTTATTATGTCTAGTTTTAAAATATGATTAATTTCTGTTTATTAACAGAATAAGACTTTCTCAATTTAGATTGAATAAATCATATTTTACAAATAAATAATGTTGATTCTATGTATGCATTTACTTTAATCCTATTTAGAGTCCGTTTGGTAACATTGAAATGAGCCGAATCGGCTGATACTAATGTTGAAATTTATGAAGTTCCGATTGAAGTATATGGATTGGCTAATTCAATTTATGAAAAAATTATATGTAAAATATTTTCCATCAATATAGTCAGAAAAGTAACTTCAACCTTATTTTTTTTTATTACACAATTTAGTGTGCAAAATCAAAAATTAAAATTAACCGACAAACTTGATCAGCCCGATGAGCTGAAATATGTGCGGAAAAGGAGAAGAAGAAGAATATAGGGAAGGAAAGGCAAATAATAGATAGAGAATTAGGAGAGTACCCACCCATTAGGCGTGAGAATGAGCATACCGACGTTGCTTGTCAACTGTTTCGTCATGCCGCCGGACTTGACGTCGGCCGAGCTGGTCGCCTTTTGGTATGCGCTGTCGGATTGGTCGCCGGAGGGTACAAAGAATGCCCCATTCTCGAACACATCATCCGTTGACCTCCAATTCCAGCTTGACCATTCGCCCTCGCCTGAGGTTTCTGTTCGTTTGGTCACCTCCAGAGCATGAGGGTTCGCCGGCGGCGTGAAATGGTTGCCCTGTGAGTTGATGGTGGGGTTGGCGCTGCCGCCGATGGCGTACATTCCCCAACTGGTGTAGTGGTTGTTGAACACGTGGAAGTACCCTTTCCTGCACCTCGGCATCCTCTGGGTTAGGCCTTCCCCGAACCTATTAAATGCTACGGTCACCTACGGTGAGAGAGACCCACATTTTTTATACTAGTATTGAATTGAAATCTTATAGTCACAAAATTCAAATTAATGATTAACGATGATGCTATTTTTGAACAATGATTTTGTTTTCATAAATTTTACATATTTTATTAATGTATTTTTAAGATCAAGTAATTTAATTTCATTTTTTCATTACTAATAATTTCCCATAAATATATATTTCTTTTGTCCTATAAAACTTGGTCAATGTTGACTTTAACTACATATTTGTTGCTTTAAATGAAAATCATGAAGTTTTTTGAGACGAAAAATTGGTCAAGTTTT